TGATTTCCTCTTGTAATCAATATCCTATACACATTAAAAATACCTATTTTAGCATCCTTAAGACGATAAACATTTATTGGGTAAAAATAATTAAAACTATATATTGAAATTAAGTCATGTTTCACTGATAAATATCTTTCTGGAGATGTAACTTGTAATGTTGGTTCAACCAGACTATAGCTTTCACATTCACATGTTGATATATATACCATGGAGACTGACCACTGTTATCGTGATTAACTCCACACACTGGCATACAGGAGTTACTATGGTAACATAAATTTACTATAGTGATTGGTTTCACATATTTGTATACAGGAATTACCATGATGACAGACTTATGATGACATACTTCACATGTTGGTATACAGAAGTTACCATGGTTACAGACTTGTTATGATGACAGACTTCAATTGTTGGAATACATAAGTTACCTTGGTTACAGACTTGTTATGATGACAGACTTCACATGTTGGTATACAGAAGTTACCATGGTTACAGACTTGTTATGATGAATGACTTCACATGTTGGTATACTGAAGTAACCATGGTGACAGACTGTTGTTATGATGATTGATTTCACATGTTGGTATACAGAAGTAACCATGGTGACAGACTGTTGTTATGGTGATTGACTTCACATGTTGGTATACAGAAGTAACCATGGTGACAGACTGTTGTTATGGTGATTGATTTCACATGTTGGTATACGTAAGTTACCATGGTGACAAAAGATGATTGACTTCACATTTAGGTAAACAGAAGTTACCATTGTTATAAGCTGATCCTATGGTGAATGTCTATGCTATCAAATTTCTTTCCATTTGTTCCTCCATCCATCTGTCCATTTGTTATTTCGTTTTGAACATACGTCATGTTCACTACTGCCTATTTGAGAGTATAGTTCCTATCATCTACATTGTATGATATTTTTTAACCATTCTCATTACATCATCTTTTTTACTGTTTCTGAATAAACAGCTGATGAAATCATCACTAGACACATGGTCTTAACTTATACTAGGCTTAGGATCATAAGTACCGAAATGATGGTTAAACAGTTTGGTATGATAGATGTGGCCGAAACCCCTGGGCAGACTTAATAAACAAGTAACTATTTGAATCCACCAGCATTGGAGCCAATTGTTAATCTGCATGTAGCATTTTATGGTTACTGTCTATTATACTACTTAGTCCCCAGACAAATTTCACTGAAAGCCTGCGCGGGTGGTTAGAACATGTAAAATGCTTTCTTCAGAAAGTGTGGACTTGAGGATAATGAGAAACTGGTGATTAGTGTCAACAAACAGTCTGGCTGGAGAGTATATTTAGAATATTATTTCAAATTTTGACGTCAATCAGTTTTTAATCTGATAACTTCATTAGTGTATTTGAAAAGAACTTGTGTTTTAAGAAGATTGACTCTTGCTTCAGTGCAGAATATGCATGACTGACTTTCCTGCCTGTAGATCTGTGTAGATGCGACCCTTGTGTATTTCCATAGACCAAAACAGATCAGCCTTTTCAGGTTGAATTTTAAGGTTTTCAACAGATTCAAAGAGATTTTGTGCTCTTGGAGAATTATTAAAGCATTGTTCAGAAAAGATTTCAGAAGTGATTGAATTATTCTGTAAGTGATTTTTAGTTGATTATAAAATCCTGCCTAAGAAAGATAGAAGGTTTAGAAAGTATATTTATGGCCTGTTTAAAAAGGTCAGGGTGGTTTAGAGAGTATGTCAATATAAACTGTTTAAGAAGGCCAGGAGGGTTAGGGAGTGTGGCATTTTAACCTGTCTAAGAAGATCAAGAAATTCAGAGAGTGTGGCCTAAGAGATCCAGGAGGTTAAGGTTGTGTGGCATTATAACCTGTCTAACAAGGTCAGGAAAGATAGTGTGGCTTCATGACCTGCCTAAAAGGGCCAGGGGTTTTACGGAGTGTGGCATTATAACCTGTCTAAGATGGTCATGAAAGTGACTTTTTGACCTGCTTAAGAGGGCCAGGAGATTTAGAGAGTGTGGCATTATAACTTGCTTAAGAAAATCAGAATTTTAAGAGAGTGTGACTTTATGATCTGCCAGGAGGTTAAGAGAGTGTGATAGAGTGTGACTTTATGATCTGTCAGGAGGTTAAGAGAGTGTGATAGAGTGTGACTTTATGATCTGTCAGGAGGTTAAGAGAGTGTGATAGAGTGTGACTTTATGATCTGTCAGGAGGTTAAGAGAGTGTGATAGAGTGTGACTTTATGATCTGTCAGGAGGTTAAGAGAGTGTGATAGAGTGTGACTTTATGATCTGCCAGGAGGTTAAGAGAGTGTGATAGAGTGTGACTTTATGATCTGCCAGGAGGTTAAGAGAGTGTGATAGAGTGTGACTTTATGATCTGTCAGGAGGTTAAGAGAGTGTGATAGAGTGTGACTTTATGATCTGTCAGGAGGTTAAGACAGTGTGATAGTGTGTGACTTTATGATCTGTCAGGAGGTTAAGAGAGTGTGACTTTATGATCTGTCAGGAGGTTAAGAGAGTGTGATAGAGTGTGACTTTATGATCTGCCAGGAGGTTAAGAGAGTGTGATAGAGTGTGACTTTATGATCTGTCAGGAGGTTAAGAGAGTGTGATAGAGTGTGACTTTATGATCTGTCAGGAGGTTAAGAGAGTGTGATAGTGTGTGACTTTATGATCTGCCAGGAGGTTAAGAGAGTGTGATAGAGTGTGACTTTATGATCTGTCAGGAGGTTAAGAGAGTGTGATAGAGTGTGACTTTATGATCTGTCAGGAGGTTAAGAGAGTGTGACTTTATGATCTGTCAGGAGGTTAAGAGAGTGTGATAGAGTGTGACTTTATGATCTGTCAGGAGGTTAAGAGAGTGTGATAGAGTGTGACTTTATGATCTGCCAGGAGGTTAAGAGAGTGTGATAGAGTGTGACTTTATGACCTGTCAGGAGGTTAAGAGAGTGTGATAGAGTGTGACTTTATGACCTGTCAGGAGGTTAAGAGAGTGTGATAGAGTGTGACTTTATGACCTGTCAGGAGGTTAAGAGAGTGTGATAGTGTGTGACATTATGATCTGCCAGGAGGTTAAGAGAGTGTGATAGAGTGTGACTTTATGATCTGTCAGGAGGTTAAGAGAGTGTGATAGAGTGTGACTTTATGACCTGTCAGGAGGTTAAGAGAGTGTGATAGAGTGTGACTTTATGACCTGTCAGGATGTTAAGAGAGTGTGATAGTGTGTGACTTTATGATCTGTCAGGAGGTTAAGAGAGTGTGATAGAGTGTGACTTTATGATCTGTCAGGAGGTTAAGAGAGTGTGATAGTGTGTGACTTTATGATCTGCCAGGAGGTTAAGAGAGTGTGATAGAGTGTGACTTTATGATCTGCCAGGAGGTTAAGAGAGTGTGATAGAGTGTGACTTTATGATCTGTCAGGAGGTTAAGAGAGTGTGATAGAGTGTGACTTTATGATCTGTCAGGAGGTTAAGAGAGTGTGATAGTGTGTGACTTTATGATCTGTCAGGAGGTTAAGAGAGTGTGACTTTATGATCTGTCAGGAGGTTAAGAGAGTGTGATAGAGTGTGACTTTATGATCTGTCAGGAGGTTAAGAGAGTGTGATAGAGTGTGACTTTATGATCTGCCAGGAGGTTAAGAGAGTGTGATAGAGTGTGACTTTATGACCTGTCAGGAGGTTAAGAGAGTGTGATAGAGTGTGACTTTATGACCTGTCAGGAGGTTAAGAGAGTGTGATAGAGTGTGACTTTATGACCTGTCAGGAGGTTAAGAGAGTGTGATAGTGTGTGACTTTATGACCTGCCAGGAGGTTAAGAGAGTGTGATAGAGTGTGACTTTATGATCTGTCAGGAGGTTAAGAGAGTGTGATAGTGTGTGACTTTATGATCTGTCAGGAGGTTAAGAGAGTGTGATAGAGTGTGACTTTATGATCTGCCAGGAGGTTAAGAGAGTGTGATAGAGTGTGACTTTATGATCTGTCAGGAGGTTAAGAGAGTGTGATAGAGTGTGACTTTATGATCTGCCAGGAGGTTAAGAGAGTGTGATAGAGTGTGACTTTATGATCTGTCAGGAGGTTAAGAGAGTGTGATAGAGTGTGACTTTATGATCTGTCAGTAGGTTAAGAGAGTGTGATAGAGTGTGACTTTATGATCTGCCAGGAGGTTAAGAGAGTGTGATAGTGTGTGTCCTGATAGACAGATTTTTTTATTTCTAAGTTTACAAGTTATATGTATAGGATTCTGAAAATCACCTTTCACACATTCATTAAAATGTAAGCAGAATGTCCAATTTATTTCTAGGGGTGGAGGATATCATTTTGCTACCAGTTACTCTGATATGAAATTGGAAAATGATATATGATGAAATGATTTTTAAATAGTGATATTTCATCTTTATTTGGAACCTTAACAAGGAGAAGACATGTTCAATGTGTTCTGTATCTTTCATTCTGCTTATGCTGATAACATTCAAGAAACATTCCTAAAAGGGACCGCTGTCTGAACATAACAAATTCTTACTTGTCTGCACAATAAAGACTTTTCAATTACAATTTACACCAATTAACACATGAAAAACTTTTTTCCAGAATCTGTAATAATTGACGTGATTTGTTCTACAGTACTACAATATATTTGGAACAATGACATGGTGGATGGAGAAATCTTTAAGTTCTTATACATCTCCTGATAAGACTTTAGAGATCTTGTGGTTTTCAAAAGACAAACCTTGGACCTATATGTAAAAGTATCTGTGATAGTTTTAGATAAGTTTCAGAACTAATCAGTTCCTAGTTTAATGTGAAATCATTAATTTTCATTGGTTTTATGGGTCAAAAATGTCTGTCCACACACTGATGAATTAAGAACATGTATTGAGCTTTATTTATCCAAATAATCAAATGTCAACAAAAAAGTGATTTTTTGGAAAACCATGAAGATTGAGCCCCACAGAAATAACTGATTATACAGTAATGTCACAAACAAAACTAACACAGAAATGTTGTAAATGAAAGTTGTTTATTTCACAAAATATTTGTCTATATTTCTGTCCTTACACACGCGATCACTACTATCTCAGTAGAAGATGTACAGCATGACTCTGGAATTCACGTCTGAAATACAATTATATATGGACATTTTACAATACTGTAGGGATTCATCATTACATACAATTAAGGAAAACAATTATTTGTCAGTGCAATCTTCTGAGTTACAAAATTGTTAATCACTGTGCATTTTTTAAAAAATGAAAAAAATCTGTTGGGAGAAACAAGATTTTTCTGTACAGTATAATCACAAGCAATCATAATAAAGGGATAAACAAAACACATTACATGTACATCCAATGTTTAAAAATCACCAAGAAATTCTACGAAGATCATAAAATTAAAAAAAAATGATTTTATGATCAACATTTTTTTTCCCTGTTTTATTGAACATGTAGAATGTTGATATAGTTTTCTTAATTCAAAATAGATAATTCTGCAGCTTTCTCATTTTATGTCAGATATAGCTATACCAACTGAAATTGGAGAATTTACTGAAAGTTTCAGGTTAAAATTTCATGGTAAGATACATCTGTGATGTGTTGCTTCAATTTCACAGGAAATCAGAACTTTATGTACCCAGGCAGCAGTGTTTCTCGTTTTGTCAGATTTAAGTATATATAGAGAAAATAAAACAGAAGCATGTTAAGGAATTAGGGAATGACATCATATCTTACTGGAAAGATGTAAAAGAGTTATCTCCCCTGAATTAAGCTTAAAGATTTACACAGAACATGATATTTGTGTTCAACTAAAAGCTTATTTCTTATGGATTACACTCTAAAGTATAAATAAAGAACTGTAGGTCTGTTTGATATTAGCTGTTCTGAACTGTTAAATTTTGGGTCTTCGAAATACATGCCTCATCAAACTGGTGATAACTATATGGGTCCATGGGTTAATCTAGAATATGGGGAATATTACCATTGTGGAAAAAAGGTATGTTTGTCTGTTTTTAGGAATCAAAACAATTTGGACAACCCTTATGTTCAGAATTCCAAAGTGGGATGGGGTAAAGATATATAGTATACATAAAGATAATAAAGAAATAGGACAGTATGGAGGTTTAATGGATAATTTTTCATGACGGCGTTATTATAAAATGTGTTTAGTAACAATATGCTAATAATTCTACCCTTTTTAAGTAGTAAAGTTGGTAAAGATCAATCCCTAGAGTCTCATACATGTACACAGAGTTGTGACAATCTATTAATATCTGATGAGTATATGATTATCAGATAAAACTTTGTGGATTAATTAATGAAGTTGTAATAAATCATGGAAGAAATAAACTAAATATAGATTTCTTTATGAAATAACATTCCTGTTTTATCATGTGCTGTAACTATATATAGAAACAAATGCTACAATAGCACCACCTCATTCTGTCTTACACCAGGTAAATATAAAAATAAATTTGACACCGTACAAGCATAGAAATGGAGACAAAATTTACAGCAACAGACTGGAAGATTTAACATTTATTGTACTTTAATCCCCCGAAAAGTGTAACACCTAATATGGGAATTTTGCTTTACAATTAACAAGGAATAGATTTGCTTATTTTTTGGGGTTTTTTGTTTTTTTTTGGGGGGGGGGGGGATTTAGAAAATTGGTTAAAATATTATCAGCAGAATCGCCATGTTGTAAAATCATGTACTTTAAAATAGAAATAATTTTTTACACTCAAAATTACTGTAAAATGATTGATTTTTGGAGCATTAATTTTCATTGATCTCATGGGTACACTTATCTCACAAATTTTGATGTCCATGAACTGTTAAATATAAGTTCATTTATAAAGCTGTTTTTATCAACAAAATCAAATATTTACAAACAGTAATTTTTTGAAAATCACAAAATTTAAGCCCCATGTAAGTATATAATCTTACAGTATACTGTATATTTATAAACCAAACATAATGATGAAATAGGTGATGAAGTGTAATGGAGACTGATGGGTTTGGTCCATCCTTACTAATGAAAAGTGATGTATATTGCTGTATGGAATTCTCTGATAACATGCTATTAAATGGTTTATACCGGTCTGGTTAAACTGCTGTACATTTCTTTTTGATCAGGTATATTAAGTAGAAAAGCCAAGGTATGCTTCTGTAAATACACCGTATCAAGAGATATCTGTAGGAGGATTTAACATCACGATATTATTGGTCAATACAGATAGTGCACATTTAAATACCCAGCAAATATTTATCCAGCAAATGAAATCTCAGAAATGTCCTGTATACATGGACATCAGTTCACAGGTCCAGACTTACCCATGAACTAGCCCAAAATGGGACAACACAGAAATATTAGCCCTTGAAACTATACAACTTATATACAATATGTTGGAGAATTTTTGAGCTTCAGCCTGTTTAAAGCTAAAAAATTAAAATCAAACTCCAGCAAATTTGATGTAATAATTTATATAATAATTACAACACATTTCTAATGAAATATCCATACACCATATGCATCCATGCATATACATTGTACTATGATAACCGCATCTCCTGCTGTTTAGTGTTAGTCTGCCCGCAGACTACTCCATTGTGCAGGTCATGCCTACCAGATATATAGTACATCGTTATATGACAGTCATTTTTCCTACATTCTGATTGGTCCAAGCATTTCTCTTGTCTCTAAATATAATAATTGTGATGTTACACTGAAACAGGCAGATTCAGTGTAAGTGAGAAGATTATACCAGTCCTAAACACAGTCTGTTGTCTCATAGGTGAAGTGAACAATCCAATACCAGCGCTTCAAGTTTTGACCAATCAGAAGTGTGAATTGTCAAAAAATATTAAAACAATTACTGATCCTAGTTCAGATGAATACAAGGATTTATTAACATGGGAAGGTAATTTTTCCATGGCCATCTAGTTAAGAAATCCTTGTATTAACTAGTTATGTAACTAGGTCAAATGTAATTCATATATTTATAGATTGTTTACATCTCTTCTCATTTCCGTGGTTTTTAATATCATATGTATAATCTTGGTTCTCATTGATTCATAAGGAATGAATTTTGTTTTTATCTTTTACAAGTGTCCTTGAATAATTTACCCTTTGAGTTGATTCGTGTAGCTTATATAATGCCACCAACACCGATATTGTGGTAAAATTTTATCACACCAACACCACGATAAAATATGTTATCACACCAACATTGTGGTAAAATTTTATCACACCAACACATCAGTAATTATGTTGCCACCACCAACACTGCAGAAATATTTTTACCTCGTGTCATCCTTCAGCAACACTGTCATTGTGTTTCTTCTGTCCGTGTTGAGCTGAGACGCAGCAGCATAACTCATGGCGAGGCTGTCCATACGAAACCTGCCACGCTTACACAGGTGGCACTTCAGAATGCGAATAAAAGTTCGGCGGAAGGCCGTGTTAAACATGGTGTATATGATAGGGTTGGCTAATGAAGCAACATATCCCATCCACAAAAATACTGACATCATTTCTGGTGTCAACGCCCACATACATGCAGCGCAGGACACCGACAGGATGTTTACAATGAAGAAAGGTGTCCATAGTACCACAAACACTGCGAAGATAATTCCTAACACCTTGGAAGCTTTCCTCTCGTTAGACGTTGCTTTTTTAGATAAAATTTGTTTCATTCCTTGAGACTTATTAAAACGTTTCAGTAGATATTTGATACTTTTTTTAGAAGGTTCATGTCGTTTGAAGTAGACATGCTCTGGTGACTCTGTACTTGGTCGCCTACTGTCGTCGCTGACACAGTGACCATTACCCACAGCACTTCCATTGCACTTTTGTAAGAGTGGCATTGTGGCATCCTGTGGCACACTGAGTCGGTACATGTGGAATGAGCTGGGGTTAAGGTTGATGGTGAGAAACTCGGATGAAGAAGAAGAATCCAAATCATCCACAGAGGAGTCATACATGGTTGGGCGTATAGAGTTGTAACCTCCATCTGGTAACTGGCTGTGACTATACACACGACAGTTATTGTCCACTTCTTCTCCGTTAGGAATGTGGCCATGGCTTGCCGACAGTTTCCTTGGTGAGCGTTCCTTTGGAGAGTGCTCCTTACTTGGGGAGTGCTCCTTATTTGGAGAGCAGTGAGCACATTCCTTGTTGGGAGAGGAATGTTCTTTGCTTGGAGAGCCAAAACCATCCTTTAGGCATTGATCCATTTCTCGTTGGATTTGGAAGTAGTGTTGCTTCCACTCCTTGAATTTGAAATCTCGTGTAAGGTTGCCACAACTATGAAACTGGACTGTCTCTGACAGGCGTTGAGGTGAGGCAGCCTTGCCATTCTCCAAGTTAGGCATATTGTTAAATGATGCAGCACAGTGGAGCGTGTGCCGATCACGTTTAGAGACTTTTAAGTCCTTGTCTGGTCCACACCGACAAACATCAGGTCCAGCATTTGTTGGAGAGCTGCATTGACATGCATTTTGGGTAGATCCTGAGTTTTCTTCACTGGAGGAGCACATATTAAATTTTGGGATGAGGTTGACTTCTGTTCCATGCTGACAGCTCTCACATTTTGATCGTAGTAGGTCTGTCTGGGAGTCGCATTGACAACTGTCATCATCAGAAGGGTTAGAAACACGGATCTCTAGACACGACATAGAGGCTGACCGATTTGTTTCGGCTTTGAAGTGAGTACTGAGGAACCTGTCATCCTGCTGAGAGGCTGTGTTCTGCTGCAGCTCTTCAGATGACAGTGGGTCGTACTGACCATTCGGGTTGGTGAGGTCCTGATTTGGTGTACTAGCAGGCAGATTGTCCTGCTGTGACAGAATTCCAGCTAGCATTGTCGCATCAGTATCACTGTTATTGCCTAAACTCACCTTACGCGATCCATCATCACTTGGAGGAGATAACAGTGTCCTTATCACACATCGATTCTCTCCATATCTATTACGTGGTCTGTAATTATTTGAACGCTCTATATTTTTCATGAGAAGTTGGTTTTTCCAAAGTATTCGAATTGTTAAAACATATGTAATGAGCATTATAGTCAGAGGTATGTAAAAGGCAAAAATTGATGCATAAATCACAAAATTGGCAACCGTTGGCACACACAATCCATCGTTGTACACATTTGTTGTGTCTTTCGCACCGATTATGAATATAGGACTACTTATGGTGATTGATACAATCCATACAAAGAATATCTTTAACACGACCATCATCTTCGTCTTATTACGACCATATCTCATCGGGTATTTAAGTGTGAAGAAACGATCCATAGACATGGTGCACATGTGCCAGATAGAGGCTGTACACATCAGGACATCTACGGCTACCCAGAAAACACACACGCCAGCGTCAAAGGGGAAGTAACCTGAAAGATAAAAACAAATATTAGTTGCGAAGGAAAATTACAGGATTTTGTTCAAATTAGAGGAAAAGAATGATGGACATTAGCTACAAAAGAAAATTACTTGATGGTACTCGAACTAGAAAAAACAAAGAAATTGATAAAAAAAAACATCAGCTACAAAATAAGATTACAGGATGGCACTGAAACCAGAAAACGGAAAAAAAGCTAAAAGATTTTTAACAGATGGCTGTGCTTGAACCAAAACATGGATCAGAACTGGAAAATTTATCTAGTGCATTGTATACAGTCTGTATAAATATGAATATAAACATTATTCATTTTACAACAATTGCTAAACATGTTATCATCATATATAATCACTCTTGTTGGCTCAGACGGAAGCATGCAAGGAATCTTTAATGATGGGAGGAAACAGAGTCCTAGGGAAAACCCACATTGTTGAGCAGGTGATTCCCATACGTTTTCATGTCTGCCCGAGGAATTGAACCCAGAAGCCTAGGTCAATGGCATGTGTTCTACCAATGGGGCACCTGACCACCAATGTCTATCATTTAAGCAATGTTCTATTTCATATTTATGTTCAGAATGAAGGGTTTTTCAGGTACACTACCTCTTTTGCAAGACATAAATATTTTTAGATTTAAGCTGCACACAGTTTTGTTCCCTATTTATTATTAATGATATTAGATAGGTGTGTCGGTGAATGTGATTAAATTTGCTGGATTTAACATTATTAGCTGAATATTACTCTCAATGCAGATCAATTTTAAGCAGAGGCATACATGTATTTAGAAAGAATTTTAAGTTTTTATGAAAATGTGAAACTGTACTTTACAGATTCATCCCTCCCATCTAGCCTACAAATCCACTGATAAAATAACGGGGCAAATTTGTAGGTTTATTATGACTGAGGAATAGTCATTTTATAGGAATTAGTTTTAATTCAGTTAAATAGAATAAATTTTTTATCGCAGCATGTTACAGATCTGTAGGCACAAGTTAGACTTATGGTTACGCATTACTAGCGTTAGAGTTTGATAAACATTTGTATGACAGATTTGGTAGAAAGAATTATGAACACACACTATCAATCTGGAAAATAAGCAGCTTGTGAAGGGAGATAACTCTAACCTTGAGTGAATCCTTGTGTTGCTTTTATTGAATATGAAATTTCAATTTTTTTTCTATATGAATAGATGGTGTTACTGAGGAGAAATAGACCATCATCATCTGTAAACTATGACAGCATATAATCAGGATTTTGTGTAGTCAACAATTATACTGTGAAGTTTTTAAGTAGATTTCATGTTTATTTTATATATAAATATTTATATTGAAAGTCCTTTGTCATTGGATAATAAAGGCCATGTGATATGCTTTATGTCTGTAAGGTACAGAGACTGATGTCTAGTTTCAGACTTTAACTGTCGCACCTGGTAAATAGCTGTTTGTGGGTTATGGAGGTAGACAAAAGTGATTTACAATTTTTACATTCTTTATAACATATTTACAGTAGAGGAATGGGTATTGATTTTATCATAGCTCTGCCTGATTATTTAGATGGAGGCTACAATTTTTAGTAGCGTTGATGTTTGTGTAGAAGCTTTTACTATATGATGTATCATACAAAGTACTGCCAGAAGCAAAGTTACTGCAGTGAGAGTGAAGATCCATCAGCATCGTTAAACACAGTATATATTGATTTTACAAGTTTGTCAAAATACTGGTTCTTATACATTGGGTTTACCCACAAGTCAAACTACAAAACTTTCAGCACTATTATCTAGAAACCTGTCAAAATACAAAATTTTAACATTTTGATTTTTCAAACTATGTCAAACTACAAAATTTTAACAGCTTGATTTTCAAACCTGTTGAAGTGCTGAGTTTTTAACACATTGATTTGAGAAACTTGTTAAAATACAAAATTTTAACTCTTTGATTAAGAAACCTGTCAAAATCCTACTTTTTACATTTATTCTGGAAATGTCTAGTTAAAAAATTTTAACACATTAATTTAAGAAACCTGTCAAAATACAAGTTTTTTGACTTGTTGATTTTTTTAACATATCAGTTGAAAATCTATCAAGATACAAAACTTCAATTATGTCATTTTAGAAGCCTTTCCCTAAACAAGTCTGTACACAGTGGATTTAACAAATTAACCATTCATTGTGAAAAATGGATTTCTATGAACCTGTCAAATTTAGAAATTTAGATTTAACATGAATATACAACATTTGAATTATGTAGAAAAATGATGGAATACAAACATTGTGGTGTATAAGTAAGGATCAACCAACCTGTCACACCTACAACTGTCTGTTAATTACAAGCGTTTATCAGTTGATCGCTTGATTATAATAAATAAAGGAAGGGTTATATTGGATGTTTTCTTGTGATGTGTGCATTAATTACACACAGTTTACCTAGGAGGAATTTCTCGATAGTACGGATTAATAATATAGGTACGGAGATTAAGTCATTCAGTGTGAAATACCATTAACAAACAGAAAAGAAGTGAAATACATTGATGTTAATCATTAACATCCAACGTTGACTCATTCTGTTGAAGAATTCCTGGGATTGGCTTATATTATCAACTTTTACTATTATTATCAAATATTTGTGTCACTGAACAGATAAACATTGAAATGTGACGCTGTGTCATTAAGTCTACCTCATCAATCTTATTGTAACATCAATCCATCAGTGAAATAGGTTCCCCCTCTATACACTTGTCTATATCAGTTCTACAAACAAATGGTAGACTACTTCATGTGATCGTGGTGGCTTCCTGAAATCTTTCCAACTCCTTTTTGTTTTATTTTGCATATAAATGTACAGCAATAAGTTTTATTGAACTCACATCTTGCTGTACCCTGGTTTTAGGACAGTCGCAACAGACTACACCGTTACTAGGAGTCAGTCGCTGTAGGCTGTTCTCTGTTCCTTGGACAGTTACCACAGTCTGTAACCGATTCCAGGACAGACACTGCAGGCTGTACCATGTTTCTAAGACAGACACCGCAGGCTGTACCATGTTTCTAAGACAGACACAGAAGGCTGTGCCATGTTTCTAAGACAGACACAGAAGACTGTGCCATGTTTCTAAGACAGACACAGAAGGCTGTGCCATGTTTCTAAGACAGACACCACAGGCTGTGCCATGTTTCTAAGACAGACACCGCAGGCTGTACCCTGTTTCTAAGACACCACAGTCTCTACCATGTTTCTAATAATGACACCATCAGCTGTATCCTTTTACTTAGTACACAATAATTGTGACTAGTTGATATACAAGCACACAAGGAATATTAACAAAGAGCGACCCAGGCCATTTTTACTTATTCTTTAAAAAATTTTAAAAAATTGAAGATTCTTAAGTTAATGACATACTCAGTTAAAAGGTTGAAATAATTTGCACTGAATCATCTTTGCTATTCTACATCTGCCCATCCTGAGAGTAAAATAGAAAAATATGTTTTGTTTTACATAAACCAGTTGAAGTTAATAGGTTGGTGTTGCTGTCTAGAAAAAAAAGTTCCCCCTCTATACACTTGTCTATATCAGTTCTACAAACAAATGGTAGACTACTTCATGTGATCGTGGTGGCTTCCTGAAATCTTTCCAACTCCTTTTTGTTTTATTTTGCATATAAATGTACAGCAATAAGTTTTATTGAACTCACATCTTGCTGTACCCTGGTTTTAGGACAGTCGCAACAGACTACACCGTTACTAGGAGTCAGTCGCTGTAGGCTGTTCTCTGTTCCTTGGACAGTTACCACAGTCTGTAACCGATTCCAGGACAGACACTGCAGGCTGTACCATGTTTCTAAGACAGACACCGCAGGCTGTACCATGTTTCTAAGACAGACACAGAAGGCTGTGCCATGTTTCTAAGACAGACACAGAAGGCTGTGCCATGTTTCTAAGACAGACACAGAAGGCTGTGCCATGTTTCTAAGACAGACACAGAAGGCTGTGCCATGTTTCTAAGACAGACACCACAGGCTGTGCCATGTTTCTAAGACAGACACCGCAGGCTGTACCCTGTTTCTAAGACACCACAGTCTCTACCATGTTTCTAATAATGACACCATCAGCTGTATCCTTTTACTTAGTACACAATAATTGTGACTAGTTGATATACAAGCACACAAGGAATATTAACAAAGAGCGACCCAGGCCATTTTTACTTATTCTTTAAAAAATTTTAAAAAATTGAAGATTCTTAAGTTAATGACATACTCAGTTAAAAGGTTGAAATAATTTGCACTGAATCATCTTTGCTATTCTACATCTGCCCATCCTGAGAGTAAAATAGAAAAATATGTTTTGTTTTACATAAACCAGTTGAAGTTAATAGGTTGGTGTTGCTGTCTAGAAAAAAAAGTTCAGTTCCATTACAAAAAAGATACAAGTTATTGCAAAACTTGAACATCTGGATAATGATAGTTCCATAATACTCATCATTCTCTGTCTGATGGGAATCTCCTATCTGACACAACTGATGGCGCGGGCAGAGGCGTGAAGCAAACATTATATGGGGTCAGGGAATTCTGGGAAGGGCAGAAATACCTCAAAGAAATTGCACACAAGTACACAATGTAGGAAAATAGAAAAAAAATCTTCTCCCTCATTGAATTTCTATGTTTTATCAGTGTGGTTTTGATTTATGTACAGGAAAGCAATCAATTCTGTAGTGAATGTGCAGTTCCGTGACGTTGGATGGTTAACTCCGGACATTGTGTATTGTATCGCTATAAATATATGACGTAAGGCAGAAATGTAGAGAACCTTCCAAAATAATCAATAATTAGTTAGAAAACCTGTTTATTTTATCATCAATAAATATTAATATTCGATGACTGTCTCTCAAATTAATGACTATGATCAGTCTGAGAGCATGTGAATGACAGATAAACATTGGGTTATTGTGTTATAGTCTTGTTTCAATAAACAGTTTGCATGACCCTGAGATGTCGTAATTTCATG